GCTCCCCCCCCACCCACCCACCCCACCCTCACTCACACCCCACCCCACCTTACCCCACCCGCCTGCCGCTTCCCGCAGGACAACACCAAGATGTCCATGCTGCGCAACGCCACCTGGACGCTGTCCAACTTCTGCCGCGGCAAGCCGCAGCCCGACTTTGGGCAGGTCAAGGCCGCGCTGCCCGCGCTGGCCCGCCTCATCCACAGCCAGGACGAGGAGGTGCTGACCGACGCCTGCTGGGCGCTGTCCTACCTGTCGGACGGCACCAACGACAAGATACAGGAGGTCATCAACTCGGGGGTCTGCCGCCGCCTGGTGGAGCTGCTGCTGTGAGTGGGCGGGGAGCGGGCGGGGGCACAGGGCGGCAGGCGCTTAGAGGGCGGCGGGCACTTCTGGCTGTTCTGTCGTTGTTGCAGCTGCAGCTTCCTGGGGCGGGGGCGGCATGTGGGCGTGGGTGCACGTGTGTGGGCAGGGCGAGGCAGCGTGGAGGGCTGCTGGTGGGCGTGCGCTGGCCGCGGCCGTTGCTGCATGCCGCGGGTCTGGTGAGGAGCGTGACTGAGGGAGGGAGCGCAGCCAGCGGCGAAGCAGGCAGCTGCCCAGCGCCGCCGCTGCCCCGCCGCTGCCCTCCTCATCCCGCGTGCGCCCCACACCCTGATTCACCACCTGCAGGCACCAGTCGCCCAGCGTGCTGGTCCCCGCCCTGCGCACGGTGGGCAACATCGTGACGGGCGACGATATGCAGACGCAGGTGGGGCTGCCCGCCTGCTGCTGGGCTGCCCGGTGGTTTAGGCACAGGCGGTGCGGCGCAGGCCTGGCGTTGGCCGCGTGCACCGGCGGCAGATCGGGTTCCTCCCGCAGAGGCCGCCTGCCTGCCACGCGTGCACACGCCGTGGCATGCCAGCGCTGCCTGGTGTGCTGCATCTTATGATGGGCTCCGTGCACTGCCGCCGCCGCTCCAAGCTCCGGCGTCAGTTGCGCGCCGACCGCTCGCTCGCCCCGCCCGCCCGCTGGCGCTCCAAACTCCTTGGTTGTGCACTGTACTGACCGCTCGTTCGCCACGCCTGCCTTGCCTGCCTTGCCCGCCCCGCTGGCGCCAGATCATCATCAACTGCGGCGCGCTGCCCTGCCTGCTCAACCTGCTGACCACCAGCCACAAGAAGAGCATCAAGAAGGAGGCGTGCTGGACCATCTCCAACATCACTGCAGGCACCAAGGAGCAGATCCAGGTGGGCAAGACCCGGGGGGCCGTGCACCGCGCCCGCGCGCGCACCCGCAACCCCTGCCCACGCGCCAACCCCTGCCCGCCCCCCCCGGCGCTCTGCAGACGGTGGTGGATGCGGGCATCGTGCCGCCGCTCATCCACCTGCTGGCCACCGCCGAGTTCGACATCAAGAAGGAAGCGGCCTGGGCCATCAGCAACGCCACCAGGTGGGGGGGCGGGTGGGCGAGTGGGTAGCGGCGGTGGCGGTGGCGGTGGCGGCGGTGGGGCGCGGCTCCTGTGCTCTGTACGCACGGCTGGGCTGGCTGGACGGCAACCAGGGCTGCGCAGGGCTGCGCTTGCGCCCGGTTGCATGCCGCGGGGGCCTGCTGGCCGGCCCCACGTGCCTGCCCCTGGGCCACTCGTGCTACTCCCTCACGCCGCCCCTCAGCCGCCGCCCTCCCCTGGCCCCCTGCCCTCTTCCGCAGCGGCGGCACCAACGAGCAGATCAAGTACCTGGTGAGCCAGGGCGGCATCAAGCCGCTCTGCGACCTGCTCTCCTGCTCCGACGCACGCATCGTCACGGTGGCGCTGGAGGGGCTGGAGAACATCCTCAAGGTGGGGTGGGCCTGTGGGTGGGCCTGTGGGTGGGCCTGTGGGTGGGGGTGGCGCGGCTGCCACCGCGTGGAGGCCGCGGCCCCTGCGTGGCGGCCCGCTGCTTGGCGGCCGCTGCCTGGTGGTCGCTGCTTGGCGGCGGCACTCGGCGGCGGCCGGCGGGCGCGCCGGCGCGGAGCAGGCCGCGGTGCCTGCCTTCAACCTCCTTCTGCCGCCGCTCGCGACGCTCGCCTGCCTGCCCGCCTGCCTGCCCCCCCGCCGTGTGCGCCCGCAGGTGGGCGAGGCGGAGAAGGAGCTCGGGGGCGCCGCCGCCACCAACCCCTTTGCGCAGCTGGTGGATGAGGCGGAGGGTCTGGACAAGATCGAGGACCTGCAGGTGCTGAGCTGGCAGGGGGGCTGAGCTGGCAGGGGAGCTGAGCTGGCGCGTGGGGGTGCTGCGCTGGGAGGCTGCGCGTGTATTTGTCTGGGTGTATGTGGTGGTGTGGTGGCGGCGGCGCGGTGCCTGCTGGAGCGCCCTGCTCACCGCCCTGCCTGCCCGCCCTGCCCTGCCCCGCCCGGTGCTTTCCTCCGCCACCCCGCCCCGCAGAACCACAGCAACGAGGACATCTACGAGAAGGCTGTGGCCATACTGGAGGCCTACTTTGATGTGGAGGATGGGGAGGAGGAGAACCTGGCGCCCGCGGTGGAGGGGGGTGCGTGTCCGCGCCGGGCTGCCGCCAGGGTGTGGCTGAATTGTGCGGGTGGGGTTGTGCCGGTTTGGCTGCTGCTGTGGGTTGATGGAGGGGTGGTGTGTGGTGATGGCGGGGTGGGGCTGGGGGGGTGTGTGTGTGGGTGGGAAGGGGAGCTGGCGGGTGGTGGTTGTTGCGATTCAGCGGGGATGGCGCTGCC